CCGGCGGTTTCAGCCTGGACGGCGCCCGCGAGCCCCAAGCCTGCTCGCGCAGGGTCGCTTTCGCTTGGCCCCGCGCGCTCCTGTCCCTGCGCGGACCCCCTCCCCGGGGAAGGAGGCCGCGCGTCCTGGGCCGGCGGGAACGACGGGGCGGGAACGGGCCTGCGGAAGCGGGGAGCCGGAGCTGGGCTGGGCGGGGCACCCGGAGTGGGTCCTGAGCGGGGCTCGGGAGCGGGAGCCGGGCGAGGCGGCCCGCAGGCGTCCAGGCGGCCCCGCGGGCCTGGCTGAGGCCTCCAGGGAGGAGCCTTGGAAGGGAGCCCAGCCGAGGGGCCCGAAGGCCGTGTCGGGAAAAGCAGATGGCGGCCGGGCCCACCAGGCACCTGGGCGCTCCGTGCCGGGTGGGCCGGTGCTGGGGGTCCCGGTCCGCCCCGCCCTCGGGGCGCCCAGCCACCGCCGGTTCGTCCCGCCTGCCCCTGCGGTTTTGTCTTTCAGGGCCTGGAGGTGACCATTCACGCGGGCACGTGGCTGCGTCGCGACGGACTTGGGTCTGGGGGTGTCAGCGGGACGGCAGGGTGTGGGGGGCGCGGCAGGCAGGGGCTGGGGCACCGGCTGGGGACCGCGAAGACGCCCGGGGGCTTCAGCGCCAGCCGCCCGGGCTGCCGTGGCGCGGGGAGCACTGGGCGCCCGCGCGTCATCGTCCTGAGCTCCCGGTGGGTTTCAGGACGGCCCTCCGTCTCCCTCACCCCCAGCCGCCCCCCTCCCCCGGGCGCCACTTGCTGGTGCCACCTGTCACTCACCTGTCAACCTTTCCCTTCGCTCCCGCCCCGCCTCGCCCGAGCAGCGGGTGGGGTGCGCGGGAGCCGGGTGCCCGGGGAGCGCACCGCCGCCCAGCCCAGGTGGCCCGCGTGCCCGCGTGACCCTCGGGCGTCCAGGGTTAAAACCTTCGCTTCTGCGGAACTTGGAGGGGAGGGCGGGAACGGCGGGCTCAGGAGCGGCCCCCGCCCTGTCGCTGGGCGCAGCCGCAGAATTCCAGCTGCGCTGCCTGGTCTGCGCCGCCGCCAGCGCTCGGGGCCGAGGCGGGGTGGGGAACAGCGGGGGACGGTGCCCGCTGGGGGACTGGAGAGCAGGTGACCCGGGGGAAAGCGCTTTCCTTAAAGGTCGCGAGGAGGAGCTCTGGCGACCTCTGTGCCACCAGGAACATTAACTAATTACCAGACCGGGGAAATGAAAAAGCAAATATTCCTTAAAACAAGAGAAGGTAATTATGACCCTGCTGTTGACACCAGCGATTAATAATTGATCGGGAGTTACACGCAATAAATTGACAATTTATCTGCCCACAAAAACGCCTGCGCGCGTGGCGCCCGCGTTCTGCTTCTCCCCGTGGGCGTCTCCGCTGAAGATCTCTCTGCGCTGGAGGCGGCCCGGAGCCTCGCCGCCAGTTCGCTCAGAAGTTGATTTAATTTGTTTTCAGCTCCACACAGAACAAGACAACATTGAGACACCTTAGGAAAAAAAAAGAAAGAAAGAAAGAAAGACTGTGCCTTATTATCTCGGGGCCAGATTCAAATGGCACAGTCGTCCTCTCTCCCACCTGGGATTGCAAAAGAACAGACGCCCCCTATTTCATAACGCCTGCCCGTTTTTATTTATTTTTATTGCATGGGCAGCACAGTGCTCCTAAGTGACATCTTCTTAGAAAAAGGGAGGACGCGGCGCCCCAGGCCAGCAGCGGGAGCCGGAGGGGCGCCGCCGCCTCCCAGGTGAGGCGGGGAGCGCGCACAGGTGTGGGCGCCCAGCCCTCCGGCTGGGGTCCCCCTGCTTTCACTTTCGCGCGCCCACGCGAGGGCCAGGGAGAACGCTCGTTCCGGAAGCCACTTTGAGCCTCTGGAAAATTGCACTGCGGTAGAGAACTCCTTGGACTAAGCCTTCCGTACTTGTGGCGATTTGCCCCTTGAAGGACAGCGGAGGGCCAGGCGGGGACGCCGGCCGTGGGAACCCGCAGCGCCCGTGCGCGCGCCACGGACCCCGAGGGCCAAGCCCACCCTTTGGGTTACTGCGTTGCAAAAATAACTAGAAAGTTATTTTTAGGAAAGAAATTCGAAAACAAGTAACCGACAGATCCGCCCAAGTGTGTAGCTGGTCATCGACACGCGCGTTCTCCGGGCCTCTCCGCGCGCCCACCAGCTGAGGCCCCGCGACGCGGCGGTCACCGAGGACCCCTCCCCGGAGGGGGCGTCCTGGGCAAGCCGGGCCGCTGCAGCGCGAAGAGGCTGGGCCGCACCCCGCCTGCGCGCCGCTGCTCGCCTGCCCGCTCCCCGCGAGTTCACTCCGTGCGGGACAGACCCGCAACGGACGGAGCGGGCGCGCGGGGGTGGGACGGCTGCCTGGGCCTTCCCGGCTCAGTCTGCGGAAGTCGGGGAAACGCACGGGGACGCCGCCGGCCAAGCTCCGGGCTCCCGGGCCGGGCGCCCCAGCCTCCAGGCCGCCCCGCAGCCGCTCGCTCCGCCGCGCGGGCCTCCCGCCTCGCGCCCGACCGACCGCGGGACGCGGCGTGCCGGGCAGCCCTGCAGAAACAATAACTCCCTTATTGGGAACAAATGTTGACATTTGACGAGCGCGGGGCAAGCGCCCCCCCCCCCCCCCCCAGGGCCCACCTGGGACGGGAGCGCGAATTCCGATAAATCAGCTTCCAGGAAGCTCGGGGCAGAGGCGGCCTGGCAGGCGGGCGAGGGGCCGAGGGGCCGGGCGCGCACCCCGCCAAGTCAGTGCCTCGCAGCGCCTGGAGCAGGGCAGCTGTCCCGCGAGACCCCAGCGAAGGCGGACCTCCTGGTCAACACGTGCGTCCTTTCTCTCTAACAAGTGGGTTTTGGTGAGCGCCTTTGAAACCCAAATATAAAACCCAGAGGCTTTTAGCATGGTCCCTTCCCTTGGTTAGTTTTCTCTCTCTTTCTCTCTGTCTCTATCTCTCTGGCTCACACTCGCGCGCGCGCGTGCACACACACACACACACACACTTTAAATCGACCCCCACAAACACCTGCAGGTTTTATGTCCTTATGTATTTTGAAATCAAGTCCTGCAGAAAACAGTTCAGGTCAGCAGACAGGGTGGTAAGTTAAGGTGTTGTGCGTAGCAACATCAAACAGGCTTCCTGTGCCTTGCTAATCTCCGGAGCAGCTCTGGGTTGTCCCCGGCGGAGAGGCCCCCCTCGTCCGGGAGAATGGCGGGGGAGAGGGGCAGGCACCTCGTGTCCAGCCGAGCCGTCTTCCTGCGGCGGGGCCAGGGCTTCCGGGTCCCAGAAGGCACACAGAGCCATTTTCCTCGGGTGTCTGTGGGAAGGTCTTCTTCCGGGTCTCCTTGGTTTGCCGCGGTAAACGTCTTCGGGCTGCTCAAGGTCACCTATCACTCACAGAGACTGCTGCCGCCTGCACTCGTCCCCTGTGAGGCTGCACAGTGCTCATCAACGCCCTAGACCCTCACCTTGAAGGCACAAGGTTCCTCGGGCGGAAACGCATTATCTGTATGGAATTCTTGATGGCTTTGTGTCTAAAACCAAAACAGGCACACAGTTAGCACTCAGGGCCACTTCCCGGATCCCCTGTGCTCCCAGACACACCGCCCCTGCCACAGAGTGGGGTTTTCCCTTGGGAGAGGCCTCCCTCTCCCACCAGCTCCCTCCCAAACATGCCCACCTCCACTGGGAAGGGGGACACACAGCCCCCGGGTGCGCAGGAAACCGAAGGCAGCTGCTCCCCCCGCCAGCAGGGCTGTGTGTCCAGTTGTCTCCTGGCTGTGCCTCAAGTATCGCGATTACTTCCAAATACCCTTTTAGAACAAGACCCCAGCAAGAGGCCACTCTTTTCCAAGGCACAGAAAGCCGCCGGAGAGGTCCGTTTGTCAATATCAGCTGCTCTAGCAATTTCCCAGCCTCAGACACGTCGGCCTATTGGAGCTGGCAGATGCTTAGACAAGATTTTATAAATTGTTCAATATCAGCCCATAATGAACCCCAACTGACCATTCCAAAGCAGCTAAAAGCACCCGCGACCTCCCCCGCTGGCATCCAATAATGCTCTCACGCGGCACCGTTATTAATCATGGAATAAAATAGATGAACCTCTTGAAAAATAAGTGTATGATTGATTAAAAGGCAATCTAAGGAGCCATTATTCTTGTTTTATAACCGTCACTTATATTCACTCAATTTATCTTTGGAGAGGAAATAAATGATTGTTCATTTCTTTTCTGAAATTATATTATGTGGATATCCATATAATTTTGCTGAAAATTAAAGTGACAGGTTTGTTGCTTTTATGATCCTAATCAAAGAAGATGTGTTACTTGTCTACAGATCTCAGACTTGTCCTGTAATTAGAAAGTGAGTGAGGTAATAAAGTGAGTGAGGTCCGGGGCTGTTCAAACTTCTCTCCCCCGGCCCCGGGGTACCCGAGAGCGGGTGCACCACTCCCCGCTGCCCACGGATCGTCCCGGAGTTCACTGCAGCTGTTGGATAGGGCAGCCCAGAGTCCTTCCAGGATTCCGAATTCCCCGCGCCCAGCGGCAGGAGTGGGCACCGGGGCTCTGAAAGCCACGGTCGCGGCCATCGGGGTGGTGGGGGGTCCACCCTCGCAATGCTCCAGTGTCGCTCACCGAAGAGGACCAGAGAGCAGCATCGGAAAGGAATGCAAAAGGCGCAGGGAGGGCAGAGTGTTTTATTTTTGCCAAGTTGTAGGATTTTACACCAGCAGACATGTTGCATATTCAGAGCACAGAGACCTTAATTTTCTTGCCATACACTTCTACAGGGATCAGCGAGGGGCAGACGTCTGCGCCGTGGCTCTCCCGCCAGCTGCGCTTCCTGCTCTCTGAGCGTGCGAAAGGAGTTTATTTCACAGCTTCTGACTCACGGGGAAGGCAGTCGCCAGGGGGCTGAGGGACAGCACTGGGGCTCTGTACCCAAGGCTCACTCCCCGGGAAAAACGAGCCCCAAACACCGCGTGCATTGTAGACTAGGCTGCTTTTATTTACAATTTGAGATATAAATTAGTAAAGAATCCGTGTTAAACAACCAACAAAGATTGTATAACCAGCAATGTCCAAATAAAAACCAGGCAGAATTTATTTACAAAAAAAGTTTAGATTCCATTGCAATACAACTTGCATAAATTACTAGAAGCTTTATATCATTATAAAAATAAATATCAAATTTGTTTCCACTTCTTGCAGTACTCAACGTCTTCAATCACGTGGTATTCCTACTGTGTACATCTTTTACAAAGAACTCTCCCAGTCCATCCTAGCACAGCTACAGAATATACACCGTGGCGATGAAGCAATCGATGCGAGGGGTCCTGAGAAAAACAGACTGTTCCCGAAAGTCACACGTACATCTGGAAGCTACACTACGCCAACACGTTACGCACGTCCCACAACACAGTCCCGGGGGCTCTGCTCGCTCACAGCGGCGCGAGCGAGATCGGTCTGACCCGAGAGATCTGGGCTTCGCAGCTGTGGCTTTACGAGTTCGGCAAGAGAAAACCGCCTGCTGACTTTATTATTTTTTGTTTCCAAAGCAATTGTGACACCTACCTGTGGACCAAGGAAAAAACCAAATCATCCCAAATCCTTCCGTGGCGCACCAACACCATCGCACTACCAGAACGAGTCACTTGACGGCTCGCACCGCGTTCCTGGCTGCTGGCTCTGTGACTGGTGACTGTGCCTAGTGGTGGAGGACCGTGGCCTCTGACGCCCGCAGGCCCGGCTGCTGCGGCTCTAGCCGGCTCCGGGCCGCGCCTGCAGCTCCCTCTGCAACACCGCCGCGTGGAAGCAGGTGTCCGCGGTGACAGCGGCTCCGCACCGCGCGCACGCGCCCAGACTGAGCGTCTACGACTTTTGTCTCAAGCAGAGAACCGGGGCGGTGCGCAATCGCGACACAGGGACAGTCCAGCTCTGAGTGCTTCTTCAAAGAGCAGCTGGCGAGAAGGAAAACGGGGATCCAGAGCAGAGGGCCCCCCCTTTGCCGGGAAAGAAGACCCCAGCGGGCCACTCCACCCTCAACCCCGGGACAGGACGAGCGAGTCACGCACGGAGCCGGCGTGCGGGAGCGCGGGCGCCCACTTACGTGCGTCGCCGTGCAGCCTTCTATAGGTAGGGCTGGACGCCGCCGCCAGCCACGGTGCAGCCCTCGCTGGCATCTGTCGGGGGAGGGGCAGTGAGTGAGACCCCGGCCCCGCCAAAAGACGCCCTGGGCCCAAGTCCCTGGTGCAGCCCCTGAGGCTTGGCCTGCCTGGCTGGTTCTCGCTGTCCTCTCTAATTTTAGTTCTCGGGTAGCCCGAGTTGCGAGGCAGGCACCGAGGCCGTGCACCGAAGGGCGGAGACCGGGGACAAAGCCCTGGTTTTCTGCTTACAGGCAGGAGCCTACGAGAGGCGCGCGCAGCTGCCCCCTTCCGAGAGCCTGCTCACGCGGCGGAGCCGGAGCTCAGCCCGGCCAGCGAAATGCGTTTTGAGGCCGTTTGCCTCGGCCAAAGCCAGTCTGGCGCATAATACCAGCAGCCAAAATAACGGTGAACTGGGGCAGTAGCAGGAGACGGGCCCCACCTCCGCTCCCTCTCGCCCCCTCCGCATGCAGGGCCCGCACTCCCAGCCGCCCGCGCCAAATCCCTGGGTGTCCCTTGCCTCTACCCAGACTTTCCCGGGACGTGCAGCCGGCCCTCCCTCCCCGCAGCACCGGCAGCCTACCTTTCTTGGGCTCATAGCCGCCGCCCGGGGGCCGGTAGTGGGGCTCTAGCGGGTGCGCGCCCGCCTTTCCCGCGTCGCTGGCGGCCTTGGGTGCGGCGTGCAGCGCCTCGCCGGGGGCGGCGGCCGCCGAGTTGTAGCGCAGCAGCCCCTGGCCCTGCAGCGCGGCGTTCAAGTTCCCGTAGTTTGTGTAGCTGCCGTAGAAGGGCGCCGTGTAGTACAGGTGGCGGCCGAGCAGCGGCGAGGCGGGGTAGGGCGAGCCGCCCGGCGGCGCCCCGGACGGAGCGGGCGCAGCGGCCGCGGGGATCCCCGGCGGCCCGCAGCCCGGGCCCAGGCTCGGCTGCTTGAGGTCCGACGTGGCGATCTCGGCCAGCGACCACAGCTTGGGCTTGCTGGCCTGCGGCTGCGCGCCAGGCGACGTCCGGCTGCCCAGGGGCGGCTTGCCTCCGCCGCCGCCGCCGCCGCGGGGTGCGGCCTCTGGCGGGGGGCTCAGCAGCGGCGCCTCCACGCCGGTGAGCGGCGACGAAGTCACGGGCTTGGGCAGCGCCAGGTCCCGCACGCCCTCCTCCTCGTCGTCCTCATCCTCCTCCAGGTCGTCGTACTTGTCCTTGCACTCAGAGCCCGATTCGCATAGGGGGTCCCCGGCGCGGCACGGCAGCTTCTCCCCGTCCGACTCGGCCGAGCAGGAGTGATCCGTGAGCGAATCCACGTGCAGGCTGATCCCTGCGGGGGCGCGGGCACGGTCGGTGGGCTGCCGGGGACGGCCCGGGGCCCTCCCCTCGCCCCAAGCCCGGCCCTGCATCGGGCCGCCCCTGGCCTCCCCGCCGAGTGCCCTGCTAGGGCAGCGCGCGCCCCGCCTGGGAAGAAAGCTCCCGAGGCCTGGCGCTGGCCGCGGCGGGGCTCACCTTCGTCCTCCGCCGAGGTCTCCGTGCCCTCCTGAGCTTTGTCGGGACTCTCCTCCTTGGCCCTTGCCGCGTCGCCCTCGTCCTCGTCCTCGTCCTCGCTTTTGTTCCGCGGCGCCCACGTCATCTTGTTCTCCTTCTTGAGCCGCCGGCGCGCGTTGGCGAACCAGGTGGAGACCTGCGTGAGGGTCATCTTGGTGATGATGGCCAGCATGATCTTCTCGCCCTTGGTGGGGTAGGGGTTCTTGCGGTGCTCATTGAGCCAGGCCTTGAGCGTGGCCGTGGCGTCCCGCGTGGCGTTCTTGCGGTACGCGGGGTCGTTGAGCTGGTACGGGTAGGCCGCGCTGCCGTACGGGTGGTAGCTAATGGCGCCGGTCATTCCGGTCGTGTGTGCGTCGTAGGGCGCACCCTGGAACCGACAAGAGCCATGAGTGGAGGGGCTGGTGGGCCAGCGTGGGGGCCGCCCATGCGGCCGAGGGGCCGTGCCTCTCCCGGCGAGCGAGCTGGAAGGGCAGCGGGGCCTAAGGGCCAGCTGTGGATCACAGAAAGTACTGCGGCTTTATTCTGGAATTTTTGAACTATTTTACTTTCCTAAGAGGACATGTCGCCCCCTGGACGCCCCCGAGCCGCGCGCGTGCATGCACAGGCCCACAGGTAGTTTTGCAGCGTCTCCATTTCTGCGGGCGCTCCAAGTGCTGGCTGCCTCGCTGCCTCCCCCTGCCCCCTCTCCCCGCCCTCATTTGGTTAAAGAAACAGCCCGAGCCCCCACTCCGCCATTCACCACTCCAAAGCTGGGCAAATCCAATTTGCAACTCAGAAGCCAGTCACCGTTTCCAATTCTTCAAATACGCGGTAATTAGCATTTTAATTCATCCTTTAAGGTTTAAATTCGAGACATTTGCAGCCTTCTCCCAGGCCGCGCCTACTCCTCCCGTGCCCTGGGATCCCACCGAGGGCCAGTGGCGGCCACCACCCCTGGACTGGCCTCAGTCGCCCGAAACGCGCTCGACCACGGCCCCGGCCAGCCCAGCTGCCGGCCGCGGGTCGCGGGAGCGGGAGCTGCTCGGGCGAGCCAGGGCTTCGGGCGGCGCTCGGCGGGCCACGCGCGCACCGACCGCTGTCCAGACACTGGTCCGCGGCGGACCCAGGCCGAACCGGGAGCCGCAGCCGAAGGCTCCCCGGGGAGGACTCCACCGAGCCCCAGCCCCGCAAGTAAAGGCGAACGGCCGAGAGCCGCCCCGGAGGCCCAGCGGCGTCGGCCCTCGCCCCACGCCAACGCGAGCGAGGCTGCGGGGGTGAGCCAGGGAGCACCCACCGCAGACCCCGGCCCCGGGGGAGCCGGGTTTCCCGGGCTCTCTAAGAAGACCCCGGGAGTCGAAGGGGAAGCGGCGCGGGTCCCGGCCCGAGCTCAGAGCCGCTCCTCGCTGGCCGCACTGCCCACCGCCCTGGCCCCTCGTTCCGCACGCGGCGCGACTCCCCAGCGGGCGACTCCGCAGCCGACCCCCGCGCTCCGTCCCCGGCGGGCCCCCGAGCCTCGGCGCCCCGCGTCCCCACCCTGAGCGGTTACCATGTAGGACGGGAAGCCGGCGGCGGCCGCCGCGTCAGCCGAGTACTGCAGCGGGCTGCCGAAGCCGGTGGCCGCCTGCGCCGTGAAGGCCGCCGAGCCCGGGTACGGGCTGAAAGCCGAGCCGGACGCCGAGCGCGCCAGCTCCTCGCTGCGCGGCGCGGCCAGCGCGGACGCGCCGTACGCCGGGCACGAGTAGAGCGCCAGCGAGCCGGGCGCTTGGTACAGGTAGCCCTGTGGATAGGACATGGTGGGCGCGGGGCGCGGGGCCCGCGTCACGCCGAGCAGCGGGCAGGGCGCGCGGCGCCCTCCATCCACGCCCGGCCGGGGCGCGGCGGCGCGGCGGCGGGCACCCGGGCCGCGGGCGGAGGCTGGCCCGCCCGGGCACTAGCCTGGGCGTCCCGCGAGCCGGGGGGACCGCGAGGCGGCAGCGGCGGCAGCGGCGGCGGCGGCGGCGGCGGCGCGGAGCCGGTGGGCGCAGCCGCGCGCCAGGCCGGCGGTCGGGGTTTGGGGGAGTCTGGAGCCGGGAGTGAGGAGTTGAGGAAGGAGCGCTCGAGTTTCCGAGGGACATTGGAACGCGGAGCTGTCCGTCACGCGCTCATCTGCATATTCGGGCGCCCGCCCCTCCCCTGCTCCGCCCGCCGGCCGGGGCCGGGGGCGGGGCGGGGCGCGGCGCGGGGAGGGGCGCGGCGCGGGGGCGGCGGGCGCGCGGGCGGGGCGCGCAGGCTTTTGTGGCGCAGCCGCCGTTCTCACCGCTCCGGCCCCGGCCAGCCGACAGTCATCCCGCGCCCCAGCCTGCGGAGCTGCCGAATTGGCGCGCGCCCCCTCCCGCTCGCACAGGCTCCCGGCCACCGCCCCCCCATCCGGCCGGCCCCCCGACCTCGCCCGGGCCGCCTCCCCCTCCCCCCGCCCCAGGCGGCCGCTGCCCCGCCCCCAGCTCGGCCCTCGCGGACTCGGCAGAGGCCGCCCGCAGTCGGGCCAGGCCGGGTCCACTCGGGGCACGCGCGACCCGTGTCCGCCTCTCCTCCTCGAAGAGGCCAGCCCGGGTCCGAGACCGGAGCCTGGGAGGATGGGGGCGCCTCTCACCCGCACCCTCCCCGGGCATCGCGGCCTCGCGGGCCCAGGCTCCCCGCGCGGCCTCGCCTCTGGCCGCTGGCCGCTGGCCGCTGGCCGGCCGTGGAGCGCGGACCTGGAGCCCGGGCGCCCGGGGTGCCGACTGCCCGGGGGCCCTGAGCGAGCCTGGGCGCGGGGCTCCGCGCCGATGAACGCCGCCCCGAAGCAGGTTTGTTTTGTTTTGTTTTGATCAGTTGACGCCTCTTCGGATTCGAGTTCAGGAAACGCGGGAAAGAGTGGACGCAGACGAGCCGCCTGGCGCACGGAGGGCGCCCCGGAGAGGGACGCGGGGGCAGCCGGCACCGCAGGTACCTCGGCCGGCGCCCGCACAGCTCCGCGTACCCACGCCACGCTGCTTCCTCCCTGCCCTACCGTAGCTCCCGGAGGAGGGCATCTGTGGACCGGGCAGAAGGGTCGCCGGTGGGGGGCGCTCGGGGGGTTGTTAGGGGTTCAGGGGTGTGCCGGTCCGGGCACCCAACAGGTGCCTGCTGGGCGTGCGCGGTGACGGGGTGGGGCGCGGGGGCTGGGGCGGCCGGGGTGCAGGCCTGCAGCTGGCGGCGCGCGGGGCTCAGGCTGCCAGCCAGGCCAGGCGCGCACCAGGGCCGCTCGAGCAGCCGGGCTGTCTGTGTCTCTTTCCCCAGGTCCAAGGGACTGTGGAACTGCAGCGTTGGGAGGACACGGACGCTGCCTCCTCCTCGGCCAGCGGGCGTGTGGCCCGACAGGTGCGGTCCGGGCAGGCTACCCCTCTCCCTCTCCTGTTCCCCGCGCCCGCCCCTTCCCCTACACGCCCCTGAACCCCAGGCCCCCAGCATCCGGATGCACGCACCCTGTGTCCGGAACTCCGGGCTCCTCCTGCGCCTGGCAGGGGAACCCCACCTGGGGCATCCCAATTCAGCTCCGGCTGGTGTTTTTATTTGGGGGGGGTAGAGTGGGGGAGGGGAGAGACTGAGACCCCGAAGCCCGTGGGCGCCTGCCGCGCACACAATCCGTGACAAGTTAGGGATTCTTGGGAGCGAATTCCTCCCGGAGGCCGCGTTGCGTGAGATGCCCGCACGCTGGGACCCGCACAAGCAGCCACAGGTCAGGCTGCAGCCTTGCAGGTTCGCTTGCAATCAGATTAAGTGGGGGAAAATCGGATGTAATTTTTGTGGCCGGGGAGCGCGGGCCTGGAGCCCTCCCGAAGCCCGGCTCCTGCTGCGCCTTCCTGAGCTCCGGTGCGGCCCCTCCTCGGGCCTGACCTCCGCCAGGGGCCGAAGGGAGAGCAGCGGCTCCAGATACAGTTGGTTTTGACATCAATTAAATACACAAGCAGACGCGCGCACGTGACCGCCGGCCCCGCGGCCGCGCGCGCCCTCCCCTCGCCCGCAGCTCTCGAGACGGCCTCCTCCTCCGCGGTGCGTGTTTTCGCAGCAATTATCCCCCTGCATCGAAATCTGGGTTTTTCCATACTGCTGCCTGCGCCTAATAAAACCCGTCTACCGCGCACCGTCGCACAGCCGCGTCGCGCTGCGTGCGGTTTTTATTGGTAGTGACTGTGGCAAATTAAAACGCTTACGCGGGAACATTAGGACCCGTGCTGCTGAATAGGTAAACTCCGCTTCGCTTTAAAAACAATTTTATTAAATCACTTTTCTTTCTCTTTATTGGGTTGAAGTTGGCCTCATCCTCTTCAAAACAATCCAGGAGCCAAAAGGCAGGCTCCGAGGGTGGAGGCCCCGCGCGGTGTCACCGGCCCGACTGCCCGCCTGCGAGCGTGCCCCGGGCTGGCCCGGACTCCAGCTCGGGTCCCCGCGGGGAGCCACGGGGCCCTGGGCGTTTCGCTCCAGGGCGAGGCGGCGTTCGGGCACGCAGGGTCGCGGGGGGGGGGGGGGGGCGGCCGGGCGCTCGGCTCCCGCGGCTGTCAGTCGCCATCCGCCTACCGGGAGCAGAGGGAGACAGAGGATGGGCGAGCACGCAAGGAAGGGCAGCCGCTGGCCGGTGTCCCGACCCTTCCCGCGGCGGCCCGGGCGATGCCTGGCCCCCTCCCCAGCATGTGCACAGCAGAAAGGAGAAGCAGAAAGCGAACCCCGCGCTATTGCTATCCTGCTCCCTGTCCCCGCAACCAAGAGCAAGCCGCCAGTGTGCGGGCCCCAGGGTCTGGTGGGGGTGCTGGAGCCGCGGCCGCCGCAGCGGGGTCCCGGGCTCTCTGGGGCGCGGGCAGGCGAAAGAGGCGACGAGGCCAGGCGCGGGCGGCGAGGGGGCGCTGTGGCCCGCGCCTGCCGGCCTCGGCCCCGCCACCGACGGGCGGCGACGCCCCTGCGCCTGGCGCGACCCGCCTCCTCCCGCACTGGCTCAAGGCTGGGAAGAGGCATTGCGACCCGGGCGTTTCAATAAAAGTGCAGCCGCGCCGGCGTCTCTGCAGCCTAACCGCTCCGGCCCCCGTGGAGTTCCGTGGGAACGCAGCGACTGTTTGGGGCGCAACTGGGCCGCCGAGAAGAAACGCGCGCCGTCTCCCGGGTCCCGCCCTGCGAGATGCACGCGTTTCCAGCGCACCCGGCCACGCGGCTGCTGTGCTCGCCGCGACCGACGCCCCCGGCCGCGGACACCCCAGCGCGGCCGTGGAGGCGAGGGCTGGCAGCGCCCTTCCTTCCGCGACCACCGGAGCGCGTCCTTAGGAACTGCGCCCAAGTTTCCTAAAGTGAACCGCAGACCCGCAGACCGCTCGCCCTAGGGACGCGCGCGAGTGCTTCCAGGCTCTCGGCCGGCTGCAGGAGCCACAAAGTCTCTCTGAAAACCACGCGCGCCGGAGACCCCGCAGGGTCCCGCACGAGGCTTCCGGGGCCCTGGGCGACCCCCGGGCAGGGCAGGAGGGCGGCACCGGGGACCTGGCGTCCAGGGCCCACGCGCGCGTTCCCCTGGGCACCACGTCCTCGGCGGCTCTTCCCCGACCGCTCGCCCCTCCCGGCTTCCTTTCGGGGCAGCGGAATTCCCCGTTCTCCCGCGGATGCCCCGCCTCCGACGTGCTTCCCGAAGTTTCTCTGGCGCGGGACCGGGAAAGCCCCATTTGCCGGTGGCTCCGCGGCCCACAGACCCCGGCCTCCCGCTGCGCTCGCGCTAACCCCAACCCTTGCTCCTCGCCGCCCCCGACCCGTCCCGCACGCCAGACCCTGGACCCCGGCTGCGGTTCCCTCCCGCCGCGCTGGGCCGTCGCCGGCCTGGGCACCTGGCGGGGAGCGCGGCGCGCCGAGACGGACCCAGGCCGTACGGCATCGCCGTGAGAGGACACCCGCGGCGGGAGCGGCTGCCCGTGGAAGCCCACGCGCGTGGCCCGCCCTTCGGCTCACTGGGGCGTGCGCGAAGACCGGGTCTCCTTACGGCCCGGAGAGGCCGCGGCTTTCGGTGGTGGCGTGGCGTTCCAGCTTTGCTTTTCCGCGCGTCCGGGCGAAGCGGCGGCGGGGAGAGGTGCGCCCCGACCCCCGCAACTCCAGGCCGCTGCGCGTCCTCCTTGGGAGCGGCGGAGCGCAGGCCGCGGCCCGGCAGGTGGCAGGTAGGACTCCTAGCTCTCAAGCCGGTGGGGGGGTCGGGGAGAAGGGAGTCTGTGTCAACAGGCGAGGTCCCGAGTCCTGGGCTCCTGGAGGGCCGCGGTTGGTACCAGCTCCGAGTTGGGTAGTGGACCGGGCGGCACGTGGGCGCCCCTGCGCGCTCCGCGCACCTCGCCGCTGTCCCGCACACCTGCGACGCCAGAGGCAGGGCCGGAAGCGCGGAAGGCCAAGCAGGGAAAGGCGACCGCATTCCCAGCGGGACATCAGCGGGAGATTCAGGCTCTGCTGACAGGGTGACAGCCAGCGGGGTGCGGCTGGGGGCGAAGGCAGGGCGCGAGCCCAGCGAGCGGGCGCAGCAGGGCCTCGGAGGCGGCAGGCAGGGGGCCGGGATGGGTGCCGTGTCACACTCTCCGGGCGACCCGAGTGGCGAGTTCTCAGGTGTGGGGCGGGGCGGTCCAGACAAGAGGATGCCCGAGTCGGGTCGGGAACGCGCAAGGCCACGTTTAGCCCTGTTTGCGGGCCTGAGCCCAGGCCTCTTTCCAGGCCCAGGGCAGCTTCAGGGCCTGCGGGTGCCGGGGAGGTGAGGCCTTAGCTCCAGCAGCAGTGTTTCATTTGTGAAAAGCTTGTCTGCAGTAACGTTCTAGAATGTCAGCTTCTCAACCCGGAATGGCGTGGCCGTGGATCGCGTGGCTCCACACGTCCACGTTCTGGGACACATTGGCGGTTCTGGAAACGAAAATGAAAAATAAGTCCTAGCCCTTAATAGAAGCCGCATCACCCGCAGTCTCCCAGGCCACTCTGGGAAAACGCTCCACTCCCAAGGCCCCACGTCTTCTGCGTTTTCTCTCCACTTTTTCCTCCGCCCACGCTTGGATGAAGCAGACGTTGGCTTGGACTTGCAGTGCAGCCATTGCTACTTGGGCCTGTGTCTTTGTGCCATTCTCCCAGGCGTGGCAGAGAGAGGAGGCATGGTGCTCCCTCAGCCTCTGGGCCTCCCAGGAGGTGCAGCCAGGGGCTCCCGGGGGTGCAGGGCCGAGCTGGACACAGCCAGGTGCCTGCACCCCTGGGGGGAGCCGTGGCTGGGACCTTGCCCGTGGCTCTGCGGCTGCTCTACACCACAGTGAGTGCATTTTAGAAAATTCAAGTAAAAATTGGAGAACCGGCCCAGGGAGCCAGAGGCAAGGAGGAGCCTGGGAAAGCACAGAACGCAGCCAGCAAAGGCGGGAAGGAGAGAACATCCTGCCAGGCAGAGGCAGGGGGGACAGGAAGGGCCTCCTCCCTCCGCTCAGCTGGGCTGCAGTGCCCAGCAGGCCTTTGCACACTTCCTCTCACGCCCAGTCCTGAAGCTCCTGCCAGAAGCAAGCCCCTCTGCCTTCCTGGGCACTGCAGCCCCGCAGGACCCAGAGCCTTGCTAATTCCCGTGTGCTTCCAGCCCTGGCTCAGAGGGAGAGGCCGGCAGGGCTGTTCGGTGATGCCACGGTCTCCAGGTTCTCTTTTCCTCACCTGCTCCGAAGCGGGCAGGGAGGAGGGTGCCAGGCCTGGGACCAGCGCAGTCCCAGAGGCCTCCCTGGGCTCCCTGACTGGACGGCCCCCCTGAGCCGCTACAGCGTACAGCTCAGTGCTGGGGACACTGGCCAGGTGCCGGCAGCCTGCAGCCGGACTCGCTCCCACATGGGGCCTCCAGGGGCTGCTTCCTCCTGTAGGCGTGGCGCCCCCTGCCCACCCTCACTGCCTGCCTGGGCGTGGCGCCCTCCGCCCACCCTCACTGCCTGCCTGGGCGTGGCGCCCCCCTCCCACCCTCACTGCCTGCCTGGGGGGGGGGGGGCCCCCCCCCACCCCTTCATTGCCTGCCTGGGCGTGGCACCTCCCCCCCACCCTCCACTTGGGTGGGGTGGGGGGGGGGGCCCCCCCCCCCACCCCCACATGTGCGGGTGGGGGGGTGGGCCCCCCCCCCCAACACCCCAAAGTTCTGGCAGGGTATGGCGCCCCCTCTCACCCTCACTGCCTGCCTGGGCGTGGCACCCCCTCCCACCCTCACTGCCTGCCTGGGTGTGGCACCCCCTCCCACCCTCACTGCCTGCCTGGGCGTGGCACCCTCCAACACCCCTCACTGCCTGCCTGGGTGTGGCACCTCCACCCACCCTCACTGCCTGCCTGGGCGTGGTGCCCTCTGCCCACCCTCACTGCCTGCCTGGGCATGGCGCCCTCCACCCACCCTCACTGCCTGCCTGGGCGTGGCGCCCTCTGCCCACCCTCACTGCCTGCCTGGGCATGGCGCCCTACACCACCCCTCACTGCCTGCCTGGGCGTGGTGCCCCCTCCTACCCTCACTGCCTGCCTGGGCGTGGCACCTCCACCCACCCTCACTGCCTGCCTGGGCGTGGCGCCCCCCTCCCTCCCTCACTGCCTGCCTGGGCATGGCGCCCTACACCACCCTCACTGCCTGCCTGGTGTGCTGTGGGTGCCAGATGAACTGATTCCCTGAATGCATGGGTGAACAGTCAGTGACTCTGTGGCTCATTCACCTGTCCTAAGAGGCACAGCAGGGACACCCATGGGGGCACTTGCCTGCGTAGCCCACTCCACTGCTCCCCACACCTGATGGTGGTGGACGCCCTAGTCCAAGCTGATCACGGCACCCCTGGCAGCCCCCACTCCCGAGTGCAAAGCAAGGTCCATTTTGGATGCTGAAAGTTAAGGCTCACTGGATACGGACATTTTAACAAACCTGTCATTTAAAAATTCCTAATAATTGTCAGCCCCAGACCTTGTATTCCACTTCCTACACAGTAACCTACACAGTTCCCAGGACCCGGGTGGTGCTCAGTAGCGTTCATTGAGCAAATGAATGTGTTTATGTTGATATTTGGGGAAAAGGAAACTTTAATCAAAGCAGACTGGCCTTTTATGGTATTTTTGGTGAGGAGTTCAGAATGGGGAAGAGTTATAGACACCATATTTAAAAAATAAGTTAGGTCCCAGCGATGTTTTTGTAGACACAGATAAGCTCATACCAAGATGTATATGAATGCGCAGAGGCCTTGGGATCTCTAGGATAATTTGGAAAAAGAATGCAGTGGGAGGAATCCGACTTCTCTGTTTCTAGAACTGAGAGAGAGAGGTGCTGGTGGAGGCGCAGGCGCACAGACCGGGGCGGGGCGGGGCGGGGCGGGGCGGGGCACCGGAAGTGGAGGCTGCAGGTGGATGCGCAGAAACGCGCCCCGTGTGTTCCGGACAAAGGCGCAGGAGCAAGCGGTGCAGGGACGTCAGCCTTCACCGCTGGGGCTGGCACCGCTGGCCACTCCAACCTGTCTCACACCTTGCCTAAAAATTAGCTGAAAGTGTGGGCCGCGACAAATGGAAAATTATAAAACTTAAAAACAAAATGGGAGGAGAGGCTGGTGTTGTGGCGCAGTGGGCTAAGCCGCTGCCCACCGCACCAGCATCCCGTGTCCAGGTGACAGTTCTACCCAGGCTGCTCCACTCACTCCCCTCCAGCCCCCTGCTAATGGCCTGGGGAGGCAGCGGAGGACGGCCCGAGTGCTCGGGCCCCTGTGCCCAGGTAGGAGACCTCGGTGGAGCTCCTGGCTCCTGGCTTTGTCCTAGCTCAACCCCAGCCGTTGTAGCCATTTGGGGAGTGAACCAGCAAATGGAAGATCGATCGATCTCTCTCTTTGTATGTGAGTCTTTTAAGTAAATGAATCTTAAAAAATAGGAGGAGGTCTTTGGGACCTGAGGCTAGGTAGAGTTTTCCATCAGATGCCAAAAACTCAATCAATAAAAGCAAGATGTTGCTTAACTGGATTTCATCCAAATTTGAAACTTTTGCTTGTGAAGGAGCTTGTTAAGGGAACCACATACATCAGAGTGAAAGAAAACATTTGCAAACCACAAAGAACTGATGTAAGAATTTATGGGGCAGGGTGGCAATGCGGCGTAGCAGGTAAAGCCGCCACCTGCAGTGCTGGCATCCCATACAGGCACCGGTTCAAGTCCTGGCTACTCCACTTCCGATCCAGCTCCCTGCAAATGGCCTGCACCCGCGTGGGAGACCTGGAGGAAGCGCCTGGCTCCTGGCTTTGGGCTGGCTGAGTCCTGGCTGTTGCAGCTACTGGGGAGTGAACCAGCTGATGGAATCTCTCTCTCTTTCTCTCTCCCTCTCTCCCTCTCTCCCTCTCTCTCTCTCTCTGCCACTCTGCCTTTCAAATACATAAATAAATGTTTTTTAAAAAAGAAGATACAAGGGCCAGTCCAAAGTGAGCCGTGCGGCAAACCCAGAATACAGCTGGAAACTGGGGAGAAGATGCGAAAGGCCATGCATCGGTGCGACTACAGGAGGTTATAAAGCGCGTCACACAGATGCTCACCCTCTGTAAGCACCAGGGAGGTGTGGATTCGGACCACAGTGAGTGATGCTCACCTGTCAGAGTGGAGAGACACGAGAGCTGTGATGGCGCCCAGCGCTGTGGAGGGCGTGGCGTGGTCTGGGCTGGCAGAAGCAGCATGGGGTCCACTCCGGAAGACAGCCGTGCACGTTCCTCTGGGACTGAAGATGCAGCTGCCGCACAACCCAGCACTTGCGTTCTTGGTGTTGGTCGTAGACACGTTGACGTACGTTTGCAGGAAACCCTGGCCGCCAACAGCCGTGGCCGCCTGATCTACTGCAGCAGCCGGGTGCCCAGGCTTGTTCCTTGTGGGCATTCGGAGAGCGGGCCAGCGGATGGGAGCGCGCTCTCTCCTCTCCCTCTCCCCCCCCCTCCTCTCTCTCTCTCTCTCCTCTCTCTCTCTCCTCTCTCTCTCTCCTCTCTCTCTCTCTTCCTCCATCCCTCCCCCCACCCTCCCTCTCTCTCTCCTCTCTCTCTCTGTTTAAATAAGTAAATTTAAAAACAGTTAAACATCCCAGTTTTGATTGTAGAAACTATTAAGTGGACTCTAATGCTGACGTGGAATTGCGGAGGTCTGGAGTAGGCAGAGAGATTTGAGAGGAGCCTGTGACTTGGTGTCAGGCCCTGGGTGCAGTTACAGTGACTAGGACAGTCGGATGCTGGTGGCAGGTGAGCCGTGCAGACCAGGGCGGGGGCTTGGACACCTGCGTCCCCCATCAGGCTGCCCGTGTTCAAGTCCTGGCCCCGCTCCTGACCCAGCTTCCTGCTGGTGTGCATCGGCGCATGACGGCCCCGTGATCCAGCTCTCTGCTATGACCTGGGAAAGCAGTGGAAGATGGCTCAAGTGCTTGGGCCCCTGCACCCACGTGGGAGACCGGGAGGAAGCTCCTGGCTCCTGGCTTCAGATCGGCGCAGCTCTGGTTGTTGTGGTCATCTGGGGAGTGAATCAGCGGATGGAAGACCCCCCCCCCCCGCCTCTCCTTCTCTGTGTAACTCTGACTTTCAAATAAATAAATAAATCTTAAAAAAAAAAAAAAAAAGCAAAATAGCCAGTTTTGCCAGGCTCTGAGTAGCTCACTTCCGCTGCTGATTGATTGTTTGCCGTGAGCTCCTGCTCATTCACTCTATGATGACGGCGGCAGCCAGGGCTGGCCTGGCCCCAGCCAGGAGCCAGGGCTCTGTCTCGGTCTCCTGGGCGGTGCCAGGGAGGCAGCGCCTGCGCCGTCTTCCACTGCCTTCCCAGCGCCTTGGCAGGAAGCAGAAGTGAGAGTGGAGCAGCTGGGACTCCGGGGCAGGCCAGCGGGGATGCGGCATCGCCACAGCAGCGTCCCCGCGGGCCCAGCAAGGCCCGCCCAGGGCGCTATTCCCTCGCGCCCACTGCTGACTGCTTCTCCCACAGCTGGTGACAGTGCTGCCTGGCAAACCTGCACCCGCAGCTGGAACACCTAGATGTTTGCATGTGTCATTTATATTTGACCTTTTTACTATAATATTCCCCACCTCTGTTTATTTAGAAACATTTCGCCTCCCTTCTCTCTCACACTGTTAATATTTGGGATTCACATAGCTGATGTGGATAATGCTGACTATATACTTTAACAAATTTAAAGCAACAGAAAATAAATGTGTGTGTGTTACAAGTCTTTTAGGAAGTTGAGGCAGTGATGGGATCTTCTGATTCATTGATTGTATGAATATATAAACACGTCTAAATATGGGCTATACCTTAGTGTTCCCTGCACTGCACACATGCTGTGTTTGTGTTGTTTCTGGCACAGCTGGGAGCGGACAGAAGCTCCGTACGTGTAGCTCTGTGTATTTTTAATTTCCTTGTTATGCCTTCTTTAATGTTATTTGTTCTTTGTCGGAAACTTGTCTTCTCTCCTGGAGGATATTTTTTAGGGATTTGCCTAATGAAGTCTCATTGGTCTGATTGTTCGCTCTTTTCCCAGAAAGCTCATCTCTCGGGATGTGTGATCCGGGTTGGTTGTGTCTTTCAGCCCTTGGAGAGGCTACTGATTTCCTACTGTTCTCCACCCTCCGCTGTCATCCGGAGAGATCCGCCGTCGGCCTGGCTGTCACGACTTTGCGGGAGTAGCGCGTCTTCTCTCTGGCTGCTCTCGGGGTCTTCGCCGGTGTTGTGTGTTCCAGCTTTCCGTCAGTGTGTCCAGAGAGAAAATTCTTTTCATTTTCCTGTTCTTGAATTCGTTAGCAGTCCTGATTCTAGAAGTCGTATCTATTTTCACTTAGGAATCCTTTGTAACGATTATCTTCTTAAAAGTCGCTGCCCCAGGCCAGCATTGTGGCTTAGCAGGTGCAGCAGCCGCCTGTGATGCCGGCATCCCATGTGGGCGCTGGTTCGAGTCCTGGCTGCTCCATTTCTGATCCAGCTCCCTGCTGTGGCCTGGGAGAGCAGTGGAAGGTGGTCCAAGTGCTTGGGCCCCTGCACCCGCGTGGGAGATGCAGAAGCTCCTGGCTCCTGGCTTCGGCTTGGCCCAGCCCTGGCTGTTGTGGCCATCGGGCCAGTGACCCAGTGGATGGAGAATCTCTCTGTGTCTCCCCCTCTGTAACTCCGACTTTCAAATAAAGAAATAACTTTTTAAAAAATGTTTCTCTGGATTATTTTGGAAGTTCAAGGAGATACATTTCGTAACTTTTTATTCTATCTTCCCCACCTGCCCCCTGTCCTATTTTCTACCTCTTTCTCTGCTACGCTAGGGATAGATAGTTTCGTTTGGATCTGTCGTCCACGTAATCTTTGCATCTATGTCATACATGAGGGTATTTCACAATGACTGTGGACAGTGGAATTGCAAGCTGAGTTTATTTATTATTGGCACACGTGGGGCCAGGGAGTGGCGATGAGCTGGTTGGCCCAACACACTGTCCCCCACTCTGTGGCAAGACGTCTCGCCGGCCGACGGAGACGCGGAGGCCCGTCTGTGCAAATTGGGTGAGGAGGCAGTGAGACTCACGCTCGCTCCCTTGTGTTCCTGGAGCCCCTCAGGGGAAACCGAGGCCGCCGTGAGTGCTGCACTGGCGTGCGTCTGTAACGCAGCCACGCATTTGTGGCCACCTTGTGCAAAGAAGCTTCACGCATTGAGTTTCCACTGAAGGGTTCGGAGAGCACTCCTGCCGATCTTGCCACACTATTCGCTGCATGAAATGGTGTTGCACAGAGAACAGAATCTCAGAGCAGGAGTTCTAAATCTATTGCATACCAGGTACTCAAAGGCTCATAGAAAACATGCATTATGGGAAAATAAAAACTATCCTCAGATTTCAATTTTTCTGCATCCAAATAAATGTGTCTTTTAATTTTGTTTCTCTGTGATTTTTTTTCTGAAGCACTTGCTTGTGTATTTTTTTAAAAAAAGATTTATTTATTTATGTGAAAGGCAGAGTTACAGAGAGGCAGAGAGAGAGAGAGAGAGACAGGGGTGGGGGGTGGGGGGGAGGGTTTTCCATCCGCTGGTTCACTCCCCAAGTGGCTGCAATGGCTGGAGCTGCGCCAATCTGAAGCCAGGAGCCAGGAGCTTTTTCTGGGTCTCCCATGTGGGTGCAGGGGCCCAAGGACTTGGGCCGTCTTCCACTGCTTTCCCAGGCCACAGCAGAGAGCTGGATCAGAAGTGGAGTAGCAGGGGCTCGAACCAGCACACATATGGAATCCAGCACCACGGCTAGCAGCTTTACCCGCTGTGCCACAATGCCAGCCGCGCCGCCTATGTGGCTTTTAGTCAAGTGCGACGCACGCACGGTTTCTGGTCTGTGTTCATATCCTGTGGTGTTGGTGGTGGAGCAACCGGAGGTGGGTGTCCTGGTGACCTGTCCTCTTACCTGCTGGGTTCCAGGCTTGTGTTCAGGCCGTGTGCACACCTGTGTGCAGGGCAGCCCGGGCCCAGGGAGCACAAGGCTCTGGTCCCTGGGTCGGGGCAGGTGTGGGGCAGGTGAGCGATGTGTTACAGGAAGGCCAAGAGCAGAGGTCAGTGGTAGCCAGGCTGGCCCAAGGCCCCAAGAGGCGTTTGGTGTTGAGAAGGCAAAACCTGGGACAGCGGTGGCAGTGGAGTCTGCTGCTGGGGTGCAGCGAGGCCGACACGTGGAACCTGCTTTGTGTCAGCACCGAGGACACGAGCCCTGGCCTCCCGCCGTCTCAGAAGCGAGGCATGGTGTCTCAGGGAGCGAGCAGGTGCTCCAGGAGGCGGGGCCAGTGACCAGAGGGGGTTACTTGATCCGCGTCCTTGGGGGGAGGCCATGCCATGAGGGAGCCTCGCAGAGACGCCAGGTGGGGGTGTCTGCCCAGGGAGTGTGGGCTTGACCCGCAGCGTCCTAGCCCAGGGAGCTCACTTCCTGTGGCTCACGTGAAGATGGCCAAGAGCAGGGAGCTGAGCACAGCGGGAGTGCTCTGGAGGCTGGGAGTCTGAACTCAAGGTGTCCCCGGGGCTCTGCTCCCCTGGAGGCTCCGGGGGGACCGTCCGGCCTCTTGCAGCTCGTACTGGCCCCAGGTGTCCAGCCCACCGCTGCCTCTTATCTGCCTCCCCTCGTCTGGAGAGCGCGCCTCCCATCAGACTCAGGGCGCCCAGCTTGTCTGCCCGTCGCCCTAATCACAGCCGCCAGGACCTCCTTGCATAGGAGCCAGACTCACAGGTTTCGGGTGAGAAAATGCGGAAGCTGGGAGGGATTCTGATTACGGGCAGCCCCCGGGGGACGACATCCATCCCTGCTCTCCGTGAGCCCCTCCCGGTGTGGGGAGGGGGTGGATACTGCACCCCAGGTAGGCAGACGCGGCTGGAATCCGAGGGGGCCAAGGGGTTCACAGTGACGCTAGGACAGCGGACGCCAGCAGGGGAGCCGGGCAGGAGAGCAGGCACCGCGGGCGGGGCCCAGGGTGGGGGTGGAGCGTCTGGGCAGGCTGTGGTCCTCTCATCACCTTTCCCCTGAGCGCTGGGATCCTGCCCTTCCACCCATGGCCTCCAGGGTGCTCTGCTGCTGCAGGGCGGCCCAGCCTCCAGCCCCGGCCCCACCGGCCCCCAGGTGCCTCTCTCCACCTCCAACCAGTCCCTGGGCCTCAGGGCTGTGGGGCCCGGCCACAAGTGGGGGCGGATCCGGCGCGGCACCGCAGCCCAGGCATGCATGAGTGTCTCGGTCAGCATGGGCCACCGTGCAAGGGGACCACAGAGCGGGGGCTGCAGTGTCAGGCACTTGTGATCCCTGGAAGTCAGAGATGAGGGCATCGTCAGGGCTGTGAGGGGGGATGGGCCCCAGGCCTCTGTCCTTGGCGTGCAGATGGCCTGTCCTCCCGTGGCGCCACGTGGCAGCCCCTGTGCTGTGCCTGTGTCCTAACCTCCAGTGCACGTGTAGATGCCACTCAGAACCAACACTGCTGCTGCATCACCCTGAGCTGTGACTTCCCACCCTGCAGCCTCCCTGGACCCGGAGGCATCCCACGGCCGTTCTCCCTCCCCTCCCATCCCATCCCGGGGTCCGGCGCGCGTCCGCCCACGGCAGCCCCAGGTGTCCCTGTAGATCGAGTCTGCTGAGGGTGGTTGGGTGACTCACTGTTGAGAAGACCGGGGCCGCCCGCCCACTGGCTGACTGTCCACCCGGCCCTGCGGCCCGCACGGCTGGAATGCGCCTGGGGTTGCCGCCAGTGCAGGTGAGAGTGACTCCCGCAACCGGTTCCACCTGTTTCCCCCTGGGCTGTAATCAGCTCGTCCAGACAGGGCCAGTTAATGAGGCCAGGGTCCTCCTTGGCCCCGGGCAGCAGCTGACCGGCACTGGGGCTCTGGGCCCTGCCGGGCCATAGGTCCTGAGAGGCTTCAGGGCACAGCTGTGGTGGGCGGCAGGTGTACGGAGAGAGAGGCACAGGGCACCTGGTCCCTGAGGCGCTCCCTCTCCCCGCTGCTGGCCTCTCTGCTCCTCCTCCTGTGGCATCTCCCAGACTCAAGGCGCACTGGCACGGGGTTTCCTGGAGACAAAGGCAGGGTCCACCAAATGTGGGGGCCCCTCCCAGAGCCTGCGGAGGAAGCCCCACCCTCCCACCTTGACGGGAAGTGCGCTGGGCTGGGCTCTTGCCTGGGAGGGCAAGAGCCGAATCTTACAGCGTGCAGAAGGTTGTGTGTTGGGGAAGGTGATTTCCTGTCTAAGAGGGAACCTGGGCAACAGTTCATATCACATACAGAAAACTAACTGCCGATGAAATGCACAGAGGGTCCTAAAAGGACATGTGTATCTTGCAAAGTTATTTCACAGACCCCCAGATAAAAAAATACTGGTACAATAATACCGTAAATGAACAGCAAAGAACCCCAGATGGATCACTTGGAAATTAACAACCCTGGCAGAGACAAAAGTGGAGTTCAGACCGCGTGAAAACGCACTTGTGGGCGTGAAGCCAACAGAAGCCACCCACTCCTGCCGCAGATGCCGGCTGGGTAAGTGTTTTCCACGGCCTTTTTTGAGACGTGCATCAGAATTTAAAATCTGAGTAATCCCTCATGCAGCCAGTTTGTTTCTAGAAATGCAAACGATAGCAACGCCCCGCGCTAAGTGTCCGGGGCATTTATCATCGAGGGTTTGCAGCAGCTGTCACTGGCATGGCCGACACATCTCCCAGGGACGTCCACTCGGGAGAGCGCACCAGGGGCTGAGGCACTGACAGCTCTGCCCGTCCCTGAAATGTCTGTCCTACCCATCCTGAGGGGCGAGCAGTGTTTAGTTTCTGACCAGCGGAGTGGTGGGAGCCACTGCCGTGGGCACACTGGCCACGTCTCCTGGGATTTTACTGTGTTTAATCACAACTGTGCTCCACTTTACGGCTGAAGCAGGAGGGAGCTCCCTGCGCAGCAGCTGTAAGGAAGAGCTACGAAGGGTGCGGCCGCGCGAGGGCAGCTGGGGAAGGCGCTAAACATGCATGGGGCCGGCGCTGGGGCGTAGTGGGTTGATCCTCCACCTGCAGTGCTGGCATCCCATATGGGCACCGGTTTGAGTCCTGGCTGCTCCACTTCCGATCCAGCTCCCTGCTGTGGCCTGGGAAAGCAGCGGAGGATGGCCCAAGGGCTTGAGCCCCTGCACCCACGTGAGAGACCCAGAGGAAGCTCCTGGCTCCTGGCTTCAGATCAGCCCAGCTCCAGCTGTTGCTGCCATTTGGGGAGTGAACCAGTGGATGGAAGACCTTTTTCTCTGTCTCTCTATTTCTCTGTCAAACTCTGCCTCTCAAATAAATAAATAAAATCATAAAAAAAAACCCAGACCTGTGACGCAGTGTGTGTGTGTGCCATCCG